AAAATAAATAAAATAAAATAAAATAAAAAGTTGGGGGTCTGGATCAATGGTGAAGAGCACTGGCTGCTCTTACAACAAGACCTTGGTTCGGATCCCAGCACCCACATGGCAGCTCACAACCATCCATAACTCAGTTCCAGGGTATCAAATGCTCTCTTCTGACCTCCACAGGCAGTGCACACACATGATACACTTAGAAGTGAAACACTTATACATATAAAATAAAAATAAGTAAATAAAATTTTTAAAAAGAAAATAAACATTGAAGGTGTAGTTTAATTGGCATAGTTCTTGCCTAACACGTTCAAAGCCCTGGGTTCCATATCCAGCACCACATAAAACTGGGTGTGGCAGCTCATGCCTTCGATCCTAGCACTCAAGGGGTAGAGGCTGGAGAATCAGGAGTTCAAGGTCATCCTTGGTTACAAAGCAAGTTCCATGCTAGTCTGGGCTACACAGGACCCTATCTCAAAAACACCAAAACTGCCAAGAGTGGTGGTGCCTGCCTTTAATCTCAGCACTCAGGAAGCAGGCAGATGTCTACAAGATCGAGGCCAGCCTGGTCTGCATAATGAGTTCCAGGTCAGCTGTAGCTACAGAGAGACCCTGTTTCAAAAAAAACAACACCAAAACAACAAAAAGGGCTTTGTTGACCTTTCTATGAAGAAAGGAGGGTCACACAGATACTTGGGAATTAGAAAGTATCAAGTAGTCTTGGCTTATGGTTTGGCTTGAGAGATGGTCTCAATCTAGCAGTCCTCCTGCATCTTAGTATCTGGTATTAGAGACAGGTTCCCTTGTGTCTAGGGAAAATTGATTTCTTAGCTGAACAACTCTAGAACAGTTCCAGAAAACTCTTCCCTAAGAAAGTCCAACATGCCATCATCAGGATGACCCAAGGAAGAGGAAGTGGATTGCTATTAATAGTAAGTGCCCAAGTTTCAGGTCATTCCTGATAAAATCTGAAGGGAGGACTAAGTGTGTAGGTGACTGTCTTCAGGGACTTTCCCCAGGGAGCCAGTCTTCTAGCCTGGAGGAGGAGACCAGGAGAGAGAGAGTAAATAAACACCGTAGAGAAGGGATTGAAGGAAGCAGGGTGCCTCCTCTGTCATCCCAGCTCTTGGTAGGAAGAGGCAGGAGGACTATGAGTTCAAGGGCCAGCCTGGACTACACAGTGAGTGAGAGGCCAGACTAAACTATAAAAGATGCTGTCTCAAGAAAAGAAAGGAAGCTTTCTTTTGGTGTGGTGGCACAGGACTTTAATCCCAGCACTAGGGAGGCAGAGGCAGGCAGATCTCTGTGAGTTCCAGGCCAGCCTGGTCTACATAGCAAGTTCCAGGAGAGCTGGGGCTACAGGGAGACTGTGACTCAAAAAAAGACCAAAAAAGAAAAAAAAGAGAGAGAGAGAGAGAGAGAAAAGAAAGGGGGAAGAGAGAGAGAAAGAGACAGAAAGAAGAGAGGAAGAGAAAAGAAAGGAAAGGAAAAGAGGGAGAAAAAAGGAAAAGAAAAAAGCCAGCACACACTTTTAACCCCAGCACTTGTAAGGCAGAGAGGCAGGTGGACTGAGGCCAGCCTGGTCTACATAGCGAATTCAAGACCAAGACTACAAAGCACTTTCTTTAAAACAGCGACAACAGGAGGGTGGAGTTGGAGAGATGGCTCAACAGTTAAGAGCACTGGTTGCTCTTGCAGAGGACCAGGGTTTGATTCCCAGCACCCACATCACAGCTAACAACCATCTGTAACTCCAGTTCCAGGGGCTCCAACACCGTCTTGTGACCTCTGTGGGCATTGCACAAACATGGGTGCACCTATCTACATGTGGGCAATACATTTAGACACATAAAAATAATAAATAAAATATTTTTTAAATGACAACATCAAATAAATAAATAAAATTCAAAACCAACTTTACCCATATAGGGAGTTAGAGGCCAGCCTGGGCTACATGAGGCCCTGTCTCAAATTAAAAAATTTAACAGGGTCAGGAGTTGTGGTGTATGCCTTTAATCCCAGCACTCAAAAGCAGAGGCAGGTGGATAGCTGTGAGATCGAGGCCCTCCTGGCCTACATAGAGCATTCCAGGCCAGCTGAGGCTACAAGGAGACCCTGCCTCAAAGAGAGCCCCCCCCCAAAAAAAAAATTAAACAGAAAGTGACAAAGATATTGATTCAGGAAGGGGAAGATGCTCTAAGGAAGGGCCGAGATTTTTTAAAATTTTATTTTATTATTATTATGTGTGTGGATGTGTGCCTGTTAAGTGTGTGTGTCTGGAAGTCAGAGGACAACTCTGTGGACTAGATTCTGTCTTTCCACCTACACAGATTCCAGGCATGAATTCCAGTCCTCAGCCTTGTGCTTTACCCACTGAGCCATCTCACTGGTCCAGGAGGGACTTAGGTATGGGAGAGGCTCCGTGAAAAGAAGAGAACTGGCTGGACGTGGTGGCGCACACCTTTAATCCCAGCACTTGGGAGGCAGAGGCAGGTGGATCTCTGTAAATTCAAGGCCAGCCTGGTCTACATAGTGAGTTCCAGGCCAGCTGGGACTACAGGGAGACCCTGTCTCAAAAAAGACCAAACAAAGAAAAGAAGTAAAGAAGATTTATGCCAGGCACACCTTTAGTCCCAGCACTCGGGAGGCAGAGGCAGGTGGATGTCTGTGGTGGATCTCTGTGAGTTCAAGGGCAGCCTGGTCTACATAGTGAGTTCCAGGCCAGCTGGGGCTACAGGGAGACCCTGCCTCAAAAAGGCTTAAAAAAAAGAAAAGAAAAGAAAAAAAAGAAAAGAAAAGAAAAGAAAAGAGGGGCACTTAGATAATGAGAGGGCTGAGGGATTCAAAGGAAGGAAAAAATATCTGGTCCTGTCTAGGATTTGGAATTGTGGACAGAGGACCTGTGGGTAACATTTCCCTCTATCCCCAGGAGCCTCTGGCCCAGAGAACCAAGTTGGGTCAAGCCAGAACTAATAGGCATTGGATTCCTCATTGTACCAGAGAGACCTGGAGGTGGGCACCGGGTTGATTACTCACTGACTAAAGAAGCCGGGAGTGATAATCACACCTGTAACCCCAGCTACGCAGGAAGCTGAGACAAGAAAATCTTGAGTTTTGGGCCAGCCCAGGCAATTTAGGGAGAC